AATGATCTTATGAGACCCTCCCACACCCATGTGTATAAGACCCCAAAAGATCACCCTTAAATTTTGTACAGATCTCTAGAAAAGTTATCACATGGGTATGGGACTTGATTTTTCTAGAAATATATGATAAATTTAAGGGTGATCCTTTAAAATCGTACACATATGGGTGTAGAAGAGTCTCATAAGATCATATATATATATATATATATTTTCCAAGGTTCCAGACAAACTCTTAGTTAATTTTAAGCCAACACTCGGATGCTTTGCAAAAAGACATTGAGAGGCCAGTATTGCTCATTCACCAATAACATAATAAATTACTCTAATGCTTCCATATGGGGGACACAGAAATCCACATGACCACATGGAAAGAATGCTCACAAGAGATCCTTCTCCAATCAAATTAAATGATGCGACATGAATAGATTAAAAAATGACATGGATGGGATTTTGTGCTCGATCTCACTCTCTCTCCATCACCACCCATTGAATTGACTGGATGGTAACCATGAATACTTACTGTTCGCGGTAGTGTACATTATACATTTTCCTACTCCAAGTATAACACAATGCCTTTGAATTGTTCAACTGCTTCTGATACTCGGTATAGAGCATGAAAACCCCATAACAAACCACATAAAACTCTTAAAACTCTTCTGAATTGTTCAAAACACTTCAACCCAATATTTCCAGTAATTGTATAACCCAAAAAAAGGGCGAGATGATGGTATAACCCTCTTAAACTAGAAAGGAACACCATGCACATTTTCGAATCTTCTTTCTGATTTTTGACCAGGCATAAAATTTCTCAAAAATAGTCCACCGAATTTCTTAAAAAACATTAATACTTCATATAAAATGGAATTGCCCAACGATTCCAAACCACAGAATTTGTGAGACAATTGTTAAAAAAATAAATAAAAACAAACTGATTATTAAAAGAGTTATGACTGAACAGCGACATATCCATTGGTAAGGCATTAAAGAAGACATCCATTGTCGACCATGTATAGACTAGCTGCTGATTCCAATTCCTCTATCACAAATAACTTGAAAAGCAACCAAAAAAAATGGATTAAAAAGGGGTTTTTTCTTCTGCACTTTTGCTGAGAATAACACCTTATAATATGCGGATGAGTTGGAAATATCTGTTGAAGATCTTGTTGTGAAAGCAGATAAAGCAAGACTTTTCACATTGCCTACAAAGTCGGACCTAGTTTACATGCTAATTAAATATAAAGAAACTCATAATGATAGGACATGATTTTTATGAGTTGCCTGACTCATGAAATGTGTCCTCTCTCCATAATCCATTTATGAGATGGATTTTGAACTTAATTCTTTTAGAATGTATAATCTTTTTACCATGGGGAGCATTAATATGTAAAATAAATAAAATTAATAATTTAAAAATAAAATTTCTTGAAGAAAATTTTTAGACCTTCGATTTTATTTTTATGGTGGATTACCACTTTTCTACATCCATCGTTAGGATGGATGTTTGATGTTTCTGGGGAAGTAAATGTAGAATTGCATCTCCCAATACAAAAACCAATTTTCCATGACGGACGCAAGAAATGGTGCATATGAAAACTAAAAAGTACATCAACTTCAACTCAATTCTTACTTTAGATTTATGTAGCATTATCAAAAAATAAGAGAGTTAATTGCGATCAATGAGACAAACATCATGAAGAAAAGCCTAAAATATGCCAACTTCAAATCATTAACACAAAATTTCCCTTTAAAGTATATAAGTAAAAGCCATCAGAACAAAGAGATAAACAGAAGTTCAACATAAACAGAACACCACCCCACTTTACTTCTTTTTTCTTCTTCTCTCCCATTTCTTTTCCCCTTTTTCAGTGGCCCATTTATATGTACCAATGAGACCGCACAATACCTTACCCTCCCCAGGGCATTCTCATCCTTATGGTGCCATAAACAAAAGAGGAATGTTGCCCAGCAGCCACAGAAAACCCAGCTCTGCATCAACACTAGGACTCCTCTTGTAGAATTTCTCTACTCGACCCTTATTCTCACCCTTTCATTTCACCTGTGCTGTTTCTTTTCATATCTTTTCTTTTTTCCTTTTCCTTTTTGTCTTTTTTCCCTTTCCTTTTTGTCTTTTTTCCCTTATTTTTCTTTTTTCTTTTCCTGCTAAGACTCTGCACAAAAACCCATGCATTATCTGCCTTCTTACTAAAACAAACTTTGGCAGATTTCATTCATATCTCTATCTATGGGTGGCATCAATCTTTTGGAATTGAAGATAGTTGATTTTCTTTCTTTTTTTCTGTTCCTTTTTACCTCCTGTTTGTAACATGAGAGACAAAGAACTGGAAATCATGGAGATCCACCTTTAACTCCTTGAGCCAGATTTTAGCAGCCTGTAATAAAGACTGAGCTTGTTGCCTCTCGAGCACACTGCTAGGGCTCCATGCAGTGCCCTTCAACTTGTATGAAGCGAGGCCAAATATTGGTAGAGGTAACTTTGGAGATCCCTTGGGGGTCTTTTGGGAAGAACTGCATACTGCACATTGAGTGCTGCTAGAATCTAGGGGATGGTCAAAATGAGGATAAACAGTAAGGATCTTGTTTAAATAATAGAGAGAAAGTGTGTGAAAGAATCCCATTCATAAGAAGAAATTAAACAGTAAAGAGACGCTGGGTTCATGTGACATAAAAAAAATTACCTCATGCGGTCAAGGGTGGGAATATTGTTACATCAACTAGTTGCCAATTTGTAAAAAGATGCACTAAGACCAATTGGTATAAAATTATTCCCACATTTGACCACATGAGAATTTTTTTTGTCACGGAAACCAAATGTGTAAGGGTCTCAAGCTAAATTATAGAGAGATATGCAAGAAATATGGAATGAAAAGATTAAAAGTAAGGACCACATTTCAAATGATAGAGGGAAAATGAGTGTGAAAGAATCACATCCGTGAAAGAGACAAATTAACTAGTAAGAATCTCATGTTAAATCACAGAGAGAGATGAAAAAACATGGATGAAAGTGTCCAAACAAACTCATGTGATTTGATTTGAGAGAGAGAGAGAGAGAGAGAGAGAGTAGTTATCAGTCGGTCCTTCGTGGAACAAAACAAAAATAAAAGAAATCGACCAACAAACAAACGTAAGAAGGAAGGGAAACGGTACCTACCTTCGTTAGGAAGGTCGTACGAAGT